AGTCATATAATTTCAGTCACTCATTAGATTTGCCTAGTAGTGGGATGTAGTAACTTCTGTTTTGAGAAGTAGAAAACAATACATGGGGGGGGGGGACTTCTGGAAATAGACTGCAACCTGTTAAACTTCTTCTCATTGTGTTTTCTTACTGTTGTGACGTATTAAACTTGGGTGGCAGACTTCCCCATAAACTTAACTGACAATGTAGAATCTCTCAGTGTCTTCCTGTTTGGAGTTACCAGGGTAACACAATGCTAAATTAGTTCTCTGAGGTGAGAATAACTTTCATCCAAGTCATTTGTCAATCTAGTTCTTAACTCAGTGGAATCTTCCTGAACTTATACTAAAGGCCAAACTATTAATACCCTTTCACTGCTAAAAGCTGGACCATAAAGAAAGCTGACCGCCGAAGAATTGATGCCTTTGAATTGTGGTGCTGGAGGAGACTCTTGAGAGTTCCCTGGACTGCAAAGAGAACAAACCTATCAATTCTAAAGGAAATCAACCCCGAGTGCTCATTGGAAGGACAGATCCTGAAGCTGAGGCTCCAGTACTTTGGCCATCTCATGAGAAGAGAAGACTCCTTGGAAAAGACTTTGATGTTGGGAAAGTGTGAAGGCAAGAGGAGAAGGGGACGACCGAGGATGAGATGGTTGGATAGTGTCATCGAAGCAACCAACATGAATTTGACACAACTCCGGGAGGCGGTGGCAGACAGGAGGGCCTGGCGTGCTCTGGTCCATGGGGTCACGAAGAGTCGGACACGACTAAATGACTGAACAAACGAACAAACTGCTAAAAGTTAAGTATGGGGTAGGAGAATTTCAGACAGGACCTCAGAGTGACAATGCCTTAAGTATCCTTCTCCCCATCCCTCACTTCTGATCATTTGTTCAGAAAATGTTAAGTGGCAATGCTTTCTTAATTGTGATTTAATTGACGCAGAAGTAACACCTAACAGTGGTTAATGCAATCCCATTTCAAACCAAGCAGATTAAGTCTATAATAATATTTTAGGTCTCTAGTATCACATTAATTGTTATGTCTAAATGGGGTATGACTAGCAACACAGATTTTAGCACAGATTTTAGGGTCTGTGGTGTCCAAAGAGTTATGTGTACTGTATTGTCATCTTTCTATTGATGTCTCTCAGAGCCCTTCTAAATGATCCTATTGCAACGTATAGGAATCCATTCCTTCTGCAAGACCTGCCTACGAGTTTCAAACCCTCGTCCTTTTCTGACTTACCATCCTGCATTTAATTCCTAGGAGTTCTATTGGTGATTCTCAGTCTGTTTCTCCCCTCCCCACCCCACATAATTGACTATTCATGAGTTTAAATCTTGATTTAAAAATTGAAATAGAAAGGGGTTTCTGTGTTTTTGAGAAACCCCACTTCAGTTGCCAGGAGCTTTTAAAGGGTTGGCCTCATGAACTGCCTCATAAGTCTGAGAATGATCCATCTGCACTTTCTGTTTCCATCCAGTCTGGCCCTGTTTAAAAGCATTCATGGAACAGTTCTTCGTCACGTGCAGATGTTGACTTGCTCAGCGTATTGACCCAGAGCAAAATCCTTTCCTCCAGCTCTGAAAATATCGTTTGGGCTGCATATGAACAAGTGTGTACATCTTTTTGCTGCCAGTAGTAACGGCGCTGCTCCTCCACGTAGAGCCAGCTTCTTGACCACACTCCAGGACACTTCCCTCTCTGTGTGTAACTCTATCTGCTACGTTAACTGGGGGAAGAAGGAAAGAAGGGCAGCACATCGTCTGCTGAAGGCAAGTGGCCGAAGATTTCTTCTGCCTACTCCATCAGCTACAGACGGAACCCAGGTCACGTGCATGTCCAGCAAATGCTTAAAATTCCCTTGGAGGTGCGGAGAGAGAAGGAATATATTTAACAATGCAGGGTCAAGCAAAATGCTGCTACTGCTTGGCAGCCAGTTTTTGTTTGCTTAGCTCGACGTCTGAAGGAACGTAGTTTTGCTCTCTCTCCTGAATTCCCTCTCATTTTCTGTCACTTTTCTTTACTCGGAGTGAGGCCAACCCACTTGGAGCTTTGTTTGCAGTGTACCAAAGTCATTTGAAAGAACATCAGGTCAGGCCTGCTGCGTTCAAAAATGAAACTGCATGCTCTAGCACAATTTCTAATACTGTCTTTGCCTTCTCAGACTATCAACTATCTTCAGTATACCTCCAAGGCAGGGAGATCATTTCTCTACCTTTCCTGATATATGCAGGATTGTAAACAGATTCATTATATTATAACGCCTTCTCTCTTTTCCTATGTGAGTGTCTGGTTTCATTCATCAGTAAATTAAAATTTGTGTTTTTTTAATTACAGTCAGGATACTATAGATTATGTTCTGCAAGACTAAAATGCCTTAGGAAATACCTTCTGGGATTCTGTTGCAACCTGTTATAATTATGCAAAGGGGCATGTACACAACTGTCAGCTACCCAACAGTGTTTTGGAGTGCATTTACTAGCATTCATTGATTCATTAATGGGCCATTTCAGTTTTTGTTTGGCTGAAGAAGAGAGTGTTTAGATTCAGACTCTCTCTCCAAACAGGCAGTTAGCAATATGGTGTCGAACTGTGGCCCTCCAGATGTTCTTGGCCTTCAACTCCCAGAAATCCTGGCCAGCAGAGGTGGTGGTGAAGGCTTCCGGGAGTTGAAGTCCAAGAACATCTGGAGGGCCACAGTTCGACACCATTCTCTTGGTCATCTGTTTTGGAGCTGCATAGCCAGCTCATTTGGTGCAGAAACCTAGTACTGGGGATGCCGCATGCCTCTCCACCTTGCACATGGGTTTAGTAAGTAATGAGAGTGTGAGAGTCTGCTTCTGCATGCTCATCATCTTCTCTGGATCTGTACATCAGCAATATTCTGTGGTGGCGGCTGTGATGATTTAAGGCAGACTATAGTGGCTGAGAGTGCATAGCAAATGATGTTTTCGTTAGAGTCTTCCTGGCTTTGGAGCAACTTTTCTTCACAGGTCTGTTAAAGTATTACCTTCATTGTAGATGATGTGTGTCAGGGACAAGGAGTGTGTGGCCCACCGGTTGCGACACTTTTCATTTCCTCAACATTGACTGTGCTACATGGAGCTATTTCTTGATTGCTGTGCAATGAATCTGGAAGGCCGTAGGTTCCTGATTCTTGATCTATAATCACTAATACAGTACTCAAGAGATGTGGAGAACCGAGGTTGCATATCTAATTTTCTGCTCTTTTTTTCTGAGTGCCAAACTATGTCTAGTTCCCATATCTGAGCTATTCATAGTTTACAAGTTTATTGTAGTCTAGAGGGGAAATATTTCTGCTTTCGACATGTGGAAAATATCTGAACTAACCTATTTACTGTATAAATTCTCATTGGAACCAGGGTTACTAACCAGTTTAATATTACGGTTTTGGGGGCTGTCCCACTGAACTGAATCATATTTACATTTCTCTCTAAGGTGCAAAGGTATTTAGATATGTACACTTTCCCTTTGCTGGATGAATTCCATTCACTCCTGAGACACAGCATCTGTTAAATTTTTCCAGTATGTGTTATGAATTCCCTATGGAAAATCCAGCTGTTCTCAGTTCCTTTTGGTGACATCATCACCTACCCTTGTGCCCTTGTACGTACATTTTGTTTATTCAAGATTGATCTGTGCTTTGTAAGGGAAGATATTCCTTCGACACCTGGTCCAATAGGGGTGGAATAAGGAGAAAAAGGAAAGGAAGGGGAACTTTTTCCAGTAACGTTGACACATTGCCACTGAAAATATTTCTAAGCTGTTTGGAAATGAATGTGTTTGAGATTATACTAGGCTAAATCTAATTGGTAATCCCTACTAGAGCAGTTCTACTGAATCAATTGCTTCATGGTGAGTCAACATGTATATAAACCACACTGATTAAATAGATCTAGTTTAGTTGGGATTATCACTGATATTCAAGGCTTATTCTGCTGTTAAATACTTAAACCTTTATACATACCGTGTTTTTCCGTGTATAAAATGACACTTTTTCCTAAAATAATTAGAGGGAAATTTGAGGGTCGTTTTATACATGGAAGGCAGCAGCAGGAGGTGGAGACAGAGGCAAAGAAGCAGCCGTGCTCAGCCGCCTCTTGCGGCTGCCCATTGACTGCTGCCACTACCTCCGGCAAGGGTAAAAATTAGGGGGTTCTCCTATACGTTTCCGTATACATGGAAAAATATGGTAGATGGCAACAATCATTCTACTATTCTTCAGAAATAAAAAGTGTTTTCATGGATGTTTTCTGACTGGCACCATACTGTGAGAACAATGCAGTCTTCTGAATAAGGCAGTAAATTTTGGTCTTAAACACCTTTTCCCTTCCCCGTTGAAGGTAATGGAAGATTATTTCTGCCTTGCATTATTCTCAGGTTCTAGATCACATGAGAGACTTCTGCTTTACAGCAGAGACCTTTATTGGAGGCATGTTGAATCTGTGATGCCATAAAAGGAAGGTCAAAGGGATCTGAGGGAAGGGGGAAAGCAAATGGAAGAAGGAAGAGAATTTTAAAGTGGTTTTTTTTTTTAAAAAAAAGGTGCTCAGCACTTGCTTAGTTGTGGATTCAACATTGATCATAGGGGTCTGCTTGTATGTAATTGGCGGATTGATATAAACAGCCCTGAGAGTTTCTAATGAAGGGTGTTAAAAAATTTATGATGGTTTCTGTACTGTCCCTTATATGCCCCAGGTATTCCTGTTGTGAAAGTCATAGTCGCTTCCTTAAAAGAAAAGTCAGACCAGGTAACACTTGTAGCTCATTATGGATTCTTGAGTGGAGGAATGTCACAGAGCCCTTCTCTCATTTGGCAGAGAATGAGAATAGTGTTGGTGAGAGGATGAACAGTTTGAGATTTGGGATCCCAAATGTGTTGTGTAAATAATTTCAATTTATAATGTATTTAATTTAAAAATAATGCTAATTTTGTTCTTGTGTGTTCTCGTGTGTGTGTGTTTCCTTTTTAGGTAGATGAAATATATCATGATGAATCACTGGGGGTTCACATCAACATTGTCCTGGTTAGAATGATTATGGTGGGATACAGACAGGTAAAAATGCCAGTCAGTGTAATGTGATGTACTGAAATGCAGTGCTTGTGCATCCCTGTGTTTTGGGCAGAAGAGATAGGCTTTCCGGCAAGTTTACACTAGTAGAAACCCATGTGTCTTTACGAGCTAAATTTATTTATAACCCAAAGCCAGAATCTGGTTTGCCCAGTCCTTGCTTAAAGCCTCATACTGCCTGTACAGTTGAGCTTTTGCATCAAAAGGCTCCCACTATCTCACTGTGCAAGTGCAACCCCCATTTGTTAAAGTGGGCTGATATATATTTTGCATAAGGGCAAGTTGCAGATTACATGGAGTGGTGTGAGTAGAGTGTAAAGCTCCCAGAAGTAACTTTTCCAAGCTGTGCATATGCTTCCATGCTTTTGCTATTAAGGGTTATCACTCACATACAGTAAAACAAAACTTGAGTTATCTTGGCTACTTTTGCAAATGGTCATCATTAGCTATACATTTATGACTGGACAACTGATTGGTAACAAATGATGCTGTCTCTTTGGCAAGCCCCCAAGGCTCTGTGTTTACTGCCTTGGCGTACAGTGATGCCTCGCAAGATGGGCGCTCCGTTTAACGGTGAATCCACATTATGACAAGGTTTTTGCGATCGCAAAAGCGATTGCAAAATGACATTTTGAATGGGGGAATTTTGCTGTGCGATGATCGGTTCCCTGTTTCGGGAACCGATTTTTGCTTCCCGACAATCAAAACAGCTGATTGTCGAGTTTTTAAAATGGCCGCCGGGTGCTCAAAATGGTTCCCCGCTGTGTTTAGAGCCATTTTTCGCTGCACAGGCACCCGAAAATGGCCGCCCCTATGGAGGATCTTCGCTGGACGGTGAGTTCTTAGCCGATTGGAACGCATTAACCAGGTTTTAATGAGTTACAGTGGCTTTTTTATTTTTGCTTTACGATGTTTTCGTGCTACAGCGATTTCGCTGGAACAAATTAACGTCGTAATGCGAGGCACCACTGTATTTTGTGGGTAGAATGTTACCATTTTTTGGCAGAATCCACAAGGAGTGGTAGGGTCTGCACTCGCCTGCTCAGAGGTCAGAATAATCCTTGGCCTATTTTAGTTGAGTTTTCCATTTTTTAATCTTAGATGTGGCACTCTGCCCTACAGATTTTAAGAAAGTATTTTTCAGAAGGACACATTTGTGTTTTCTACTTGTGTTCAAAGTAATAGCAACAAGGTTGGAATAATCAGAGCTATGGCCATGCTGTCGGGATTTTGTAGTCAAAAAATAATATTTCCAATCTGTGGGGATAACCTGACAGTGGGGGGAAAATCTGAGATTGCACAGTCTTGATCATTAAAGGGTATGATTCTGAACCAGACTTTTATGAAGTCTTACTTTAAACAGTAGTAGGTAGTGTCATTGTTATTGAACTGAACTCTCTCCTTCTCTCATCTTGTGCAGTCTATCAGCTTAATAGAGAGGGGAAATCCATCCCGGAGTTTGGAGCAGGTCTGTCGTTGGGCCCATTCACAGCAGCGCTCAGATCCTGAACATTCCGAATACCATGATCATGCTGTGTTCCTCACCAGGCAAGATTTTGGTCCCGCAGGTATGCAAGGTACTGTATTTATCTCAACCAGGTATGTGTAGTTTGAGGAAGGCCATCAGTTTCAAAGCATTGCCCATTCACTCTCTCTGTGGGATTTTGGATTGATTCCCCATAAAACTTTTTAAAAGACCATAAAAGCTGTAAATTTAGTCAGTATTATGGAAATAATGGTACGTATGTTGTCCTACATAATTTGTGATGCACCAAGATAATGGAACTGCTAGTCGAGTACTGTGGCCTTGTGTAGTTGTTTGATAGCATCCTAATTTTGCGGTTCTAGGCATACTGCAGAATCAGAGCATTTTTAAGAGCTCTCAATGCGTTGCCTTATCTTTGGGATTATCTTTGACATTACTATGTCTGCCTGCACTAAGGATAGTAATGCATAACCAAATTAAAGGTCAAACAGTACATTACAGCATAAAGAATTCTGTATGATCTGAAAGATGTCTGATAGTTACTGCAGAGTTTTTCATAGTTTGCAGATAAACTTGTTTTGTTTGTGTTTGATCACTGGGTGGTAAACACAGGTTTTGTCTGCAGTTGTTCAGTCATAAAGGCCTGCCTGAATCACAGTTCTGGAGCACTGATGATTTTAGCTTCTAAAGACGTATTTTAGGTAACATATAATTTGAATTTAAAGTTAACAGTCTGGAGAAAGCACTTGGGGAAAGCATGAAAGGGTACTACAAGCTGGGTCAAGAAACATGACCTTCCAAAATTGCATGGCTGCTTCCTTAAGGAGAGTGCAGGGCCAGGAGGAGGGGGCACTCACAGGGAAGCATCTGCAGTGGGAATGCTCAAACCTTTTCATGCCTGCCACTATTTCCTTGGAGGTCACCTCCATCCATCCAGGTAATGGCTGGCTCAAGCCATGTTACTGCTTGACATAAAACACAAAATAGGACTCCCCCAATTCCATGTACAGAAAGTATGAAGACTGCCAGTTACATCCTACACCAAATCTCTCAATGGGATAGTGTTCGCCATCAAACCTTAGAGCAGGAGGCTATCTTAGGGGATGCAGAAAAGTCAAGTGGTATACAAACGCATTTAACTCCTTACTTAACTCTCATCCTCCAGCAACTGTTCTGCCTTAATGGTAGAGCTGGTCTGACCGTACCTTTTCCTGCTGCCTGGCCTTGTCTTGTTATGTTTTAATGCCATGGAGATGAATGGAAGAGAGAACTTCAAAGAAGAAAGGGATTAACTCTTCTTGCAAGTTTCTCCCATGTAAATGTACCCCTTGTATTAGTATTATGGGAGGAAAAATGGACTTGAAAAGCCCAGTTTGTCCTTTTACCTAATAGTCCACTGAAAGAACAGGGATATCCATGCAAATCACATCTCCAGGCTTGATAAGCATTCAATTTCCATGCTCCAGTAATAATCACATAAGTTCCTATTAGAAGGCACAACAACTCCTTACAGTATATTTGCAATCACGTGGTCTGAGATTTCTTGGGGGCGGTTGCTAGGGTAGGGGAAAAGTCCTTTGGCAAAGCAAAGCAACTTAACCTTGGCTTGCAAAACATTCATTTTGGCTGGCTTTTGCTGTAAGCGAAAGAGGCGAGGTATTTGAAAAGAATCCTAAGTATTAGCCTTTGTTTTTGCTTTCCCTCACTTGGAGGAATGGATTTCTTATGACAAATAACAAGGCAGTATTTCTTTTCCTTGTCCTCCTTGTTATTCAGCCCAAAGCAATGCATTGCAGTCCCACAAACAATGCTAACTTGCACTTTTAACTGTGTTCGCTTTGCAGAAACTATTTCTTATACAACAGTCCAAAAAATTCATAGCTTTTGGTCTTATCCACAATAATAGTGAAATGAGGTTCTAATTTAAATGAATACTTCAGCTGGAGTTTGGGAAACAGTTGACTCCCCAGATGTTGTTGTATTCTAATTTTCCAGTACAGTACAGGATGCATTAGCTGAGGAACATCACACAGGTTCTGGTCCAGTAATTAAATGTGCACAACATATTCCCTTTGTAAATAAAATTGCAGTTGGAAGCACCCTCAGCTTGAGACATTGTGTTGGTCATTTCATGGCCTATTCTAGAGTAGTCACAAATTTAGTGATGTGCTTCCCCAAAGGAGTGGGGGTTGAGACAGAAGTTTGCGTCCTGAAGAAAGTAGAAAGAGGTGTTGCTTTTACAGAGAACTTTTGAGCTAATTATAAGACGTGGTGGCGCTGCGGGTTAAACCGCAGAAGCCTCTGTGCTGCAAAGTCAGAAGACCTGCAGTCGTAAGATCGAATCCACGTGACAGAGTGAGCCCCCGTCATTTGTCCCAGCTCCCGCCAACCTAGTGGTTCGAAAGCATGCAAAATGCAAGTAGATAAATAGGTACCACCACGGTGGGAAGGTAACGGCGTTCTGTGTCGTGCTGGCTACATGACCACGGAAGATTGTCTTTGGACAAACTCTAGCTCTATGGATTGGAAACGGAGATGAGCACCACCCCCTAGAGTCGGACACGATTGGACAAATTGTCAAGGGGAACCTTTACCTTTACCTTACCTTGAGCTAACTGATGCAATGTCATACATTTAAAAATAAATAAGACTGTATTTACAACCTGTAGTACTCAGATAAGGTAGGTGGCTTCTCAAAACCACTAAACTTGCCCCTTTTGCCATGGTGAAGAGCTACCTGTATCAATTACTATTCTCACTCATTATAATTGTCATAGGAGAAACTGTTACAATTAGGAACACTCTTTTTTTTTGGCATTGCCTAAAGTTCCTGGGGCTCTGCAGTGAGAATCAGTTCCTACCATACTGCTGTAATGAAATGATACAGCAACTTGAGTTTGGGAAGATTTCACTGGAAACATTTAATGTTTCTCCATCAGTTTATTACTTTATTTTTAGTCATTACAGTTCCACCCAGCCATTTAGTTTATAATATATTTCACTATGATCACATTTGTGCTCATAAAACCCAGTGCCTGATTCATTCATATTTGTTTTGCTGCTTCCAACGGGTATCAGTGGAATGAGCAACATCGGAAGACCTTGGCAGCGCACAGAGGTCAGGGCAAGTCCCAAGCTCCTTGAAGGAAAAAAAGTGCAGCAACTCCACAATGTTTGGACTCGTCAGCACAGGGATGCCAGCCAAGGGAGGTAGTCAGCAAAACTGAAATGGTAATTAGAGCGCACATGCTGGTGGTTGGCTTTCTCAAAAAGAGCCTAGCGTCGGTGCTGCTAAAACCATTTACCTTAATAGAAACTGCTCTAGGCCTTTAAACCCAGTAGCTATGCAGTGCATTGTGAAAGAAAGATCAAAGTTACAAAGGTGGCCATTCACGACTTTGGCAGGGTTCCCTGACTTTCCAGTTCCATTTGGCAAGCCTGCCTGCCTGCTTTAAAATGCTGTGGCTTCTGTTTATGTGGAATGCAGTGTTTGGGGTTGTGTGTGAGAGTCTAGTTTATCACGGGGAAAGGGAGAAGGTTCATCTCTCTTGGCTTTCTCTGCCCATCAAGCTGTTTATGTGAATTCTTCTGTGCTGCCACAGTGAGCTGGATAAGCAGCTAAGTCTCTGTTCTACAGCATTCTCCCTGATAGTTTTACCGTTCGGAAACTTGGATCACACCTCATGCCAACATTATTCCCCCTGACACTGCCAACTCAGCTATCGATGCTTCCTTCCTGCTTTGGCCCTGGCCACTTGTCATTAATATGTATATATAACTTCCAGACTGAGCTCCTGTGATGAGATTGTGTGATTGCCTTGCTGCTAGGTTTAGTGCAGAATTCAGCCATTCAGCTTTGGTTTAGGATTGCCCATACTTTTCAACAGTTTTAATTTATTTGCAATAGGTTTTTAAGCCGAGTTCAGAGTATTGGTGATTACCTTCTAAAACCATTGGATGCAGTGTCACTTAGAACAGGTATAGACAATCCAGTGCCTTCCAGATGTTTCCGGCCACAGTTTCTATATTTACTGAACAATGGCTGTGCTGGCTGGGGCTGATGAGAGTTATAGTTAAATAATCTGAACATCAGCATGCCTACCCTTGCTTTAAACCAGTGGTTCTTAACCTTTTTGAAAGAAACGCCCCCTTGAGCCATTGAGGAAGTTATCATCGCCCCCCTCCCCACAGTGATGATATCTTATTTATTTATCTATTTATCTATTTATCTATTTAACAATCATCTATCTATCTGTCTGTTTGTCTGTTTATTTATCTATTTATTTAAGACACTTAAATCCAATGACCCCTGAAAACAAAATTCAATTCCAAGAAAATGAAATGCCCCAAAAAAGTAACATTTAATGATTTAGTTGCAAGTGAATTTTAAGACGCAAAAAGAAAAATATAAAAAGGGCAGAAAAACAAACCACAATGCAGGAACTAAAAATTTCAAGACAAAAACTCTGAAACTAAATTAAGATTGGAGGAAAATATATATTCATGCACACTGTAAAAAGGCTGCAGCCATCTTCGCAGGTTTGGCTTGCTCCAGTGCCCCCTTACCGCCCCCTTCTGCTCCAGCGCCCCCACGGCGCCCCTTTTCGTTCTACCGCCCCCCTGAAAAATGAAATCGCCCCCTGGGGGGCATTATCGCCCACGTTAAGAACCACTGCTTTAAACAACATCTGCACCTGTATGCATGTTTCTTTGTTCTTAATATCTTTAGATTTGCATATCCTGCTTTCTCAGTCTAATAAGTGGGCAAGCAATTCATAACACATAAAATAATAGAGTACTACAAACAAAATAAACATACACTAATCCGTTTCGATTAAAATGGTTAAATAAAGGACATAACTGTTTCATTCTGTTTTGGTCACCTCAAAGTCCTTATTAAATAAATAAGACATCCTTAATTAAGACTGTTCTTATAAAACAAGATACCTCTTTAGGGACGAAGTTTCTGAGAGGAAAGTGCCATCACTGAAGAACTATCTCAACTGCTCGTGTTTGCAGTACCACAAAACGAAGGGATGCAAAGGCCAGCTTCATCCAGATACTTCACAGCATGGTGGAAAGTTTATAGTCCTTGTCCATGTAAACTTGGTGATCTTCTCTGTCTCCCTATTCACCATGGGTAGATCTGTTGAGGTCATGGGTGCAAATGGTATTTTTTGTGTGTGTGTAGTTACACCCATGTATGGAAAACCCTGATCAGGAAAATCTGCCAGGGGACATCTTTGATTTTATTGCCAGCATGTGAAAATGGCACATCTTTTTACAGGCTGATAGGTTTTGTAGGTCACTTTTATGAGCTTTCTGGTTTTTAATCCCCTTTTTTTCTATTCATCTTGTATTTTTTACAAGTCATTGGAAAAAAATACATTGCCCAAGTATGCATGGGAAGGTGACTAATTTTTTTAAGTGGCTGATGAGGGCAGTAAATAATAATGAAACATGGTGTCCTTTTGTGGGCTCCCACTTAAATGCTTTTGTTTCCTCAGACATGTCACTGAACTGGAGGGAGGAAGAGATGTAATTTTTGGCCAGCTCACCTTTTCTCCTTATCCCCATGCTCCTTGACACATTGTTCCAAAAGTATTCCAACTCTCTGGAGCAGGTGGAGGCATGAGGGCTGCAGAATGTGGGGATCAATTAACATTTTCTCGACTCATGGAAGATTCCAGTGAATCAAAGAGCAGAGAGGCATCCAATGTGGCCACAGCCTAATATTAAAAACAAGCTCTATTCCTACAATGGCAAGAGTAGCAGCACCTATCTATGGAAAGATGTGACGCTGATCTGATACAGCACAGTATGTTGCGTGCTTTTTTGTTGATGCCATTTCACTCAATGGAAGTGTCAGAATCAGACCACAGCAGTCTCTGGTTGTACCACTGATATGTTGGCATTGTATTTTTTTTCTTTTAAGTTAGTGGACATTTGACGTGGACTTAGTTCATCAACACAAGAATAAAAGGCTGTACAGTACAGTTTTCTCTTACTGGCTTGAAGAAGAGATAAGCTAGGAAACAAATGATAGTGATACTCAAAGATTACACCCCGAGTGTCCAAGAGGTATTTCCATTAAAACCTGGAAAAAACGAGGCATGTAGAGCGTAATGTAGTTTTAATTATATTCTTGGCAATGAAAGCCAGGATTACTTCACAGGAAATGGAAGCTTCTTGACCCAACTGGATGCTTTCCAAATGTTCCACAGCGTAGGCACTTGGGAAGGGCCTTTGGTTAATGCTTCTTCCTTGGTAGTACTTGTTTTTGCTTCTTTTAGTGGTTTCTGAGCTGCCGGTGGGGTGTAGTGGTTGAAGTGATGGACTAGGAGTCAGGAGATTTGGGTTGAAATCCCCATATGACTATGGAGGCTCATACCTTTCCTAAAGTATTTCTCCTACTTAGAAAACCCCTTTAGCATCACCGCAAGTCAGATGTGACTTGACAGCTTATGTGTGCCTTACCTGCTAGCATTTGTCACTATTGCTTTTTGCAGTACTGCAAATGGTTGTAAAATTCAGTGCAGAATAACGAACATAATTTTTCAGTGATTTAGAGATTTTGTCTAATCCTCCAAATTGTAGCTGTCGTGTCCTGAGAGAAGCTGCAGTTCTACAGGGTGAAAGTCCAATAATGTCACGCAGTCTTGGGAAGACTTCAGTTTGTGAAGTCTACTTCTTTATAATTTCAAGCCCAAATGTCTGTGTGCTGAACACAGTGACAAGATGATGGCTGTGGGCAAACCCAGTCACAAAATAATTAAATATTCATACTTCAGCATCTCAAAAATTATCCCTGTGGAGAAGAGTCTGAACAAAGGTTTTCACATTTTACAACTAATACAGTTTTAAACTTATTTTTTTAAAAAGTAACTCATCAGTAGGGGGATAGCAGTACCTTTAACAAAAAAACTAACTACAAAACTGCTGCAAATCAGGATTTTTTGAATATTTATAAGCCACCTATTTTTTTTCAGATAGTGCCAAAATCTTGAAACAATGCAAGTGATTGTAACGGATTCACATACCATGCTTGATATTTATTTATTTGTTTGTTTGTTTATTTGTTTATTTATTTATTTATTTCTATTTGAAAAACAGCATCATTTTAATGCTGCTTGATGAGCCCTCGTTACTTACAGTGAGTGCACAAATGCATGCCACAATATGTTGGAAAATTCAGTTTCTGAGCAGCACTTTGTAGTCACAACGATGGTAGATATGAAATTGTATTTCATGGTTGGAGTAAATCTGTGGCATTTTTTAATGTTAAAGAGCATGTAATTCCTTTTAGTTAATATTTCTGTGCATTTTTTGCATAATACTTTCTTTCCTTATACTGTATGTTATGGAACTGCAGCAGAAGGGGGGAATTTTAATAAGGCTTTTGCTAATCCCACATTGTATCTAACTGCTGAGTGAGTGATAAGGAGTTGTTCCATGGAACTTCCAGTGTGGGTTCAGATCTATAAAGTCTGGTCTTTTACCTTTGATGTAAGGTTTGTTTGTTTATTGCCTGTGCAGGCAAAGGGGTGTGGGTATGTTTGCTGCTCCAGATGTGTATGTGTGACAGCCCTTGATGCCACAGCCCTCTTGGCTGCTTGGTAGTAGAGTCATTTGCTCTCTGTGGGTAGATGGTGAACCCATTTTCTGGAGGATAATGTGAGCTTGTCTGTGTTCCGTGTGCATATCTTCTCATGAAAGTTCACAGGCGTCAGGTGTCAGGAATGGAGTCTCCTGACACCTGATGATAACTCTTTCACGGTGCTGACCTTATTTCTCTACCAGTTTATTTCAGGCATGGCCACTGCAGGAGCCCAAGTCTTGGCCTGCATATCACTTTACTTCTATCTCCTTCCCTCACCGGTAGTCCTTAGTTTTCTCCACTGCATGCCTGCAGCGCACAACTTGTGACTCATCAAACTGAATGTAACTCACAGCCATGTATGGTGTCCCGGTAGAGAGCCAGGGATCCTTCTGCTGGAAGGCCACACAGTACATGTTTTGTGTGCTTTGCCATGTATGGTGTCCCGGTAGAGAGCCAGCTGAAAGGCTGCACAGTACATGTTTTGTGTGCTTCCCTTGGATTAACAGATACTTTGTTTTTAGTCATCTCAATGTTTTTCTGGCTATGTCATTGTGAAAATACTTCTGTGGAAAAAAATTTAGTTCAACAGTCAAAGTGTGCATGTGTGCGGAGATGTAAACTATTTATAATTTTAATGCCTCCCAAATGTATTTGCCTTTATGAAATATAAATGGTGGAACATCCTAATGGGTTTCATTTGTATTCTCAGGCAGCTGCATGGCTCATGTCCCTCTGGAGGGAGCAGGGTGTGAAATATGATTGAAACATCTCCAGCTTGTGGCTCCTCCTTTCTCATGCACCCTTTCTCTGCTCTTCCTCCCTCTCTGACTCTGTCTTTGTCCTTGCTTCCTGTTTTATTCCTCTACCTTATTCCAGGGTATGCTCCTGTCACGGGCATGTGCCACCCCCTGCGCAGTTGCACCCTCAACCATGAAGATGGATTCTCCTCTGCCTTTGTGGTAGCCCATGAGACTGGACATGTGTAAGTGGTTGTCCATTGGGGGGGTGGGGATGGGAGAACTCAGATACCTTTGCTGTGTGTATTGCTGCTAAGAGGAAGCAAGGAGCTTTGGCAGGACATTTTATGTGCGTCACTCCGGCTGCTTCTAAAAATTGCTGGCTGAAGGAGAGCTTGAAGTACCAGGCCTGTGTTCAAAGTACAAGAACTCAGCTTCTGTTGTCAATTCCCTGGCCCTGTATCATTACTGTCTCTAAACCTTCCTTTAAAAAAAAAAGGTTGCAGAAGAGCTAATGTCACCTTCCAGTTTGAGGTGGAGAACGGCAAAGATCTGGCCCTGGGCCAGTCCAGTTGCTGCCATGGGCTCAAAATTAGGAGAAGAAATTGTACACCTCTGCTCTTAAAAGATTTTTCACCATGTTTCTATGCCATTGACCACAAGTTGTGGCTGACCTGGCTGTAGGACCTGATAGATGGCTGTGGAATTCATCCTTGATAGAGTCATCACAAAGGGCGGCCTTGAATCAGATTATCCATGGTTATCTATCCTATAATCTGAAGTTTCTTTTGCTTTTACATATGGTGACAAACAAGTGAGAGGATGGTAGCGGTGGAATATTACTGCTGCTGTTTTATTATTTACTGTTTTGTGTATGTGGAGAAACACCACTTAAGGGCTTTTTTAACAGGTTAGGTATGGAACATGATGGCCAAGGCAACCGGTGTGCTGATGAAACCAGCATGGGGAGCATTATGGCACCACTGGTCCAAGCTGCATTCCATCGCTACCACTGGTCCCGATGTAGCAAGCAAGAATTGAACCGTTACATACAGTGAGTCTACTTGATTTTATTTTTTAAAAAGGGGGATTTTAAGGCTGGGAGAAATATAACATGAATTTTTTTCCCCTCTGATGCTGCAGCTCTTACGATTGCCTCTTAGATGATCCCTTTGAGCACAACTGGCCCAAACTGCCAGAGCTGCCAGGAATCAATTACTCCATGGATGAGCAATGTCGATTTGACTTTGGTGTGGGCTACAAAACATGCACAGCTGTGAGTACAGAAACTGTTGGTAGGGTCCACGTTCTTTCTTTTGCCTGTTTTTAGTGCAAAGACATTTCCCTTAGGGCTGATTCACGCTATTGGGTTGCATCCATCAGTGATTTTTCTCTTAGCAAATAGCACTTCCCTTCACAGACACCAAAGCCTCTAATTTTCCCCTCCTGCAGCCTTGGATTTTGTACTTCATTCTGTTAAAAGGAGTTAGGGTTAGAATGCCTATTCCCTAGGTGTATGGGGGGGGGGGGCAGGCTACCTCTGGAAAATATCCATAAACTTCATCTTGTCCCACATCATGCTGCCATACTGCTGACTCAGGCTAGTTACAGAGAGCATGTGGTTTTGTTGTTATAATAGCTTCACTGGCTACTGGTTTGTTTCTGGATACAATTTGAAGCGTTGGTGATGGCTCAGAAGATTCTATACAACTTGAGACAAGGCTGTTTGAAACTTATTTCCTTTATATGAACCTGTTTGGGTTTTAAGATCTACAGGGGTGGCCCATCATTCAGTGTTGCCTCAGTTAGTTGCACTTTTGGTGGGATAATGAGAAAAGGCGAGTCTCTGGCTTTAAAAATGCATACCAAACAAGGATGTGTTGATTCTTTCCTCTGTTCTCTGTATGTGATCTGTGTGAGGTCTGCCCAAAGCCATAGTTTGGGACCTTCTGAATTGGGTTTTGGTGCTAGCCCAGCCCCTCGTCCTTGCAACACACATGCAAGTAGCTGTCTCTCAGATTTGCTTCATCCACCCTAGTGGCAGCACATATCAAAATTTTTACTAATACCAAGTATTAGCCATTTTATTTTATTTTACTTTGACTAATATTTATAGCCATTTTAATGCTTGTTCTGTCTTGTTTTATGTTTTATTTGAGAACTTTGGAATACCATGAGAGCTCTTGATGTCAAACATATTGATCTTGATCCCAGTCATTATCTAGATATTGTTGCGACTACTCTCTTGTCTCTACATCAATGCCACTAAACAGACTAAAGTCAATGTTGATGTTCAGTTAGTTATTTTCCAGGATATGTCTTTAGTATTGGCATTTCGCATGGTGTCATCATTCAACCTCCAGCTATCACTGTTCTTGACCTCATCTATGAGCAGAATTAGAGCCTCTTCTGTGTATGACTGCTACCTTTTCAGTACCATCAACACCTCCATCTCACCATTCCACCTCCTCTGTGACCTTACCTACTTTCAGAGAACACATTTTCCTATTTGTGCAACAGTATTGTTGACAGCATCCTCATACAGATTCAGCAATGCAAACCTGTGCTCCATATATTTATAACTGCAGTGGCTCCATTAGCTCCTGCCTCAGTCACATTTCCATCACCATTGCACAAAACAATTTATATGAGACGATGAGAAAATTCCAGTGAATCTGAAGTATCATGCCACACATCATCTGACTATGACTCTAGTATTGCAGCTTCATTCATGCATATTGAGTCCTCCTCATCAGATCTTCCGGCCAAAGACCAAGAAACATTCTATTTTCAAGTTTTTTGGGGGCCCATTATATCCATCATCACAATATTGCTCTTTTTGAGGCTCTATATGCATCCACTAAATTCCCTTCTGAAGATGCCGGCCACAGAGACTGGCGAAATGTTAGGAAGAACAACATTCAGAACACAGCCACAAACCCACAACAGCCATTAGATCCCAGCTGTGAAAGCCTTTGCGAATACACACTCAGTAGTCTTTAAGCATAGGTATGATACATTAGATCCCGGCCGTGAAATCCTTTGCAAATACACACTCAGTAGTCTAAGCATATGTATGATATATGATGCACAGAGTCCATGGCAAATTAAACAGGTTACTTATTTGTTATGATTATTCTTCAAGTGGTCATCTGTGTATTCACATGACCCACCTTTCCTCCCCGCTTGCACATGAGGTTGAGGAAATGATTGTCAAGAACTTGGTCCACAGCCAAGACTTCTTCTGTCCACGAGATTCCTAGCCATTGCAGGTACAGGTTCCATGGATATGAATGTACAGGTCACAATTAGAAGAAGAAACATGTAATTTGACGGGCCCAAATCATCATAATTATAAGTTGATTATTCAAAGATTTGAATGTGCATTGCTCACCAGCAATAAGCAAAATTTTTGAAGGTAAATATGTCATGTCAGATAGCAATCTGAAGAGCACCAGCCAGGATATGTTTTTCATTTAAGAGACATTTCTTTGGTGCTTAATATTTCAAACTGAACCCAATGTTGGTCTGAAAAAGAGTAGATACATTGAGGTGTGTAGTGCTTGAGAGTCATTACTTGTTCAGGTCACACTAGCTTCAATAGATCTATTCTTGTGACATTAACATTGGAATTAGCACATACAGCCCTTTAAAGGGGGTGTTTATAAATACAGTGATATGGGATTTTTGAGTGACAGTCACATAGGTAGAAGTGCTAGTATGAGTGACCTGCCATCTTAAATTTGCAGATGGATTCTCTTATTTGTATGTGTTGTTTTTCTTTTTTGCAGTTCAGGACTTTTGACCCTTGTAAGCAGCTGTGGTGTAGCCATCCGGACAACCCTTATTTTTGTAAAACAAAGAAAGGACCGCCGTTAGATGGAACTGAGTGTGCTTCAGGCAAGGTACCTATGCTGTTGAATAGAATATGGTCTGTTTTATTTTTATTGGGAAATTGGCATGTTTCACCCAGAGTCCAGATACTTTTGCACATACATGTGAGTGTACAGGCACACTGCGCCATGCTATATAAATATTTATTGGCTAATATGTGCCTGTTATAGCTGGTTGGATAGCTCAGTGATTTAAGTTGGGAGTTTGATTCCCCACTGTGCCTCCTGTGAGAAGAGCCAGCCCGTGTGGCCTTAGGTGTGCTGCATAGCCCAAGAGACCTACCCTTGCAGAAGGGAATGGTAAATCACTTCTGAGTGTTGTGCCTGTTACGGAAAGCTGAAAAGGGTCAACATAAGTCAGAATTGCCTTAAAGGCACATTATTATTATTATTATTATGTGCCTGTTACGGAAATTTTTGTCTGTAACCTTTTATTATCTTACAACATTCACAAGCCTTGTGCATGGACATATTCTGCCCCATTACCTGCGGTGGAGACTTGAGACTCCTCCTGCACTTTGCAGAACAACTTTTCAAAAATGATTACAAAAAAAAAAGTATTTATGGACAACTGTCAATTGCAGCTACACACATAGCCTCCAGGGTGATGGCTAGCTGTAGACCCACGCCTCCTCACAGAATCCTTGCCCAGCATGGCTACAATTGATTGGATCGTGAACATTATTAATTCATCACTGAGGGAGGGAATGCTTCCCTCCTGCTTAAAATAAGCCATCATCCAACCCATCATCAAACAACCCCCAGTTAGCATCAGACAACTTTAACAATTTCGGTCAGATTGCTAACATAGCATTCCTGGGCAAGGTGATTGAGAGGGTGGTGGCCAATCAGCTGCAGTCATACCTGGAGGAGCAGGATTGCTTTGACCCATTCCAGTCTCCATTCAGGCCACAATGGGGTAGTGAGACAATATTGGTCACGCTGCAGGATGACCTTTTAAGGGAAGCTGACAGAGGCAGATGCACCCTGTTGGTATTCCTGAAGCTCTCAGTGGCTTTTGATACTGTTGACCACAGTATACTCCTGGACAGGCTCTCTGTGGTTGGGATTGGGAGCATAGCATTGAGCTGGCTCCGATCCTTCCTTGAGGACCATGTTAAGAGAGTTCAGCTAGGGATTGGCACTATCCCCAATGTGGTTTAATATCTATGTTAAGCTGTTGGGGAAGGTCATCAGGAGTTTTGGAGTAAGGTGTCATCAGTAAGCTGGTGACATGCAACTCTATCTCTCCGTTACCACCTCTACAGTAGATGCCATCTGGATGCTGGGACATTGCCTGGTTGCAGTACTGGAATGGACCAAGGCTAACAGGCTCAAACTAAACCTGGACAGGTTAGGAGAGATGGTCCCTAGGCTGAACAGCAGTGCTCTCCAGTTTAGAGACCACGTGCATAATTTGGGCTTTCTTCTGGACCTGGCCCCTTCTTGCGAGTCCCAGATTGCAGCCGTGTCCAGATCAGCCTTTAACCTTCTTAGGCTAATTGCCCAACTTCACCCCTACCTAGACGAGGACTCCCCCAGGACTTTGGTGCAGGCCCTGGTTGTCTCCTGGATTGACTACTGCAATGCCCTCTACGTGGAGCTCTCCTTGAACCTAATCCGGAGACTTCAGTGGGTCCAGAATGTGGCAGCCAGATGGGTGGTTAGTGCAAGTAAATTTGACCACATCACTCCAGTTCTGGCTCACCTCCACTGGTTGTTTGTGGTGTCCCGGATCCGGTTTAAGGTTTAGACACTCGCATACAGAGCCCTCCATAGTTTAGGCCCATGTTACTTGTCAGAGCATCTCTCCTTAATGTCATCTGCCCAACCCACAGGATAATCCCAGTTGAGGCTCCTCCGAGTGACCACCCTGAGGGAGGCCCATAAATCCTTTACAAGAGGTAGGGTCTTCTTTGCAGTGGCTCCAACCTTATGGAACCAGTTTCTGGAGGAGCTCTGCCTAGCCCCCTGTGGACTTTTAGGAAGCAGTTAAAGACATTGCTTTTCAGGGAGGCTTTCCCCACCGACCTCAGCTGACCACCTTCCTCCCCTCCTCTTCTTCCCTCTCCTCTTTTTCTCCATTCACTCTGTGATTAGTTGGTGCCATCTTTTTAAAAGGGTTTTTAGGGTTATTGTTATCAATTTTAATATTTCTCTTTTCATTTTTGTTTTGCTATTTTATGAATTGTAACCTGCCCAGACTAGTGCTGTGATACTAATGGGAGTGGGATACAAATTGAACAAATAAATAATATTATTTAATATTCAATATTGATTTGCCAAGATTCCTCCGTACTTCATGGTGAGAACTTCTACTACATTGCACCTAATTTTTAGTTATTGACTTCACTTTTACTTCAGCACCAAATACCTCTCTTCTCCTATGCTTAAAAGGCTATGCCACTAGATCTTGTGCAACTGTGGTTTCTATCCCATCTTATCCATATCTAAGAAGAAAAAATAACCCCAGAATCATAGCAGCAGGTGTTTTCTCAAGTGCTGCATGGTTTGGTGCTATAATATATAGGTAATATAATCATTCATCAGCAGCCCTCATTGCCATTTTTTTCCACAGCCTACATGCAAATTTTGATTTATCTTAAGGTCTAAAAGGCTGGAGACAGGAATACCCAAGGGCAGGAGTAAAGAATTGTTGATCTCTAGACATTTTGACAGTGATCCCCAAATTTGGTGTGGGTGGGGTTCACTTCTCAGAAGCCTGTTCTGGCTGTTGGGAGCTGTAGGCAAACAACATATAGGACCCAAATTTAGAGGGTCATTTGAAGAGGAATCCTAGGGAGTGCTTGCCACTGCTTGTACCACTGCCATCTGGTACTGGGCTGTTATCAGAAGATGATCTTTCAGTTCCCTTGTCCTTAATAAGGGCTCACTAAAAGCGTTCTGGGAAGTCCTTCAGCATCTAGGATTAGCAAACATTTTTCTGCCAGATCATCACGTAGGGGGTTCCCCCCCGCAAAAAGTTTTGATTCTGTCCTATATTGTCAGATGCTGTTTTGAAATGGAGGTGCTTTCAAGCCAGTGTACTTCCTCTTTCATGATTATTTGGTTCTATGTTGTAAGACATCTTTTGTTATAAAGGGATGTATCAATTTAAATTAAACCTAAGTAAATTTAATGCTACTAATCCTGCCACAGCCATTCCTTATGTTGTTATTTGTCACTGTTTGGTGATTATGTTTGTCAATTTGTGGCTATGCTGGTCTTCTTGCACTGGTGTTCCCCACAGCAAAGTACTTATTTCTTTATTAGATGATTAGTTCACTTTTCTTTCAAAAACTCAGAGCCAAGACAGCACATTCAAAGTGTAGAGAACAGTTATGTTTCAGGGCCAAACTATTGTATATGTTACAAAACCTGGCATTAGAAGGAGTTTCTTAAGTGCTAATGAGTGATTGTCAGATAGCAGGAGATTTTCTAATTTCCCAGTTTGAAAATTAGCTGCTGCTGCTGCTGCTGCTGCTGCTGCTTCTTCTTCTTCTTCTTCTTCTTCTTCTTCTTCTTCTTCTTCTTCTTCTTCTTCTTCTTCTTCTTCTTCTTCTTCTTCTTCTTCTTCTTCTTCTTCTTCTTCTTCTTCTTTTACTAGTTTGTCTTCAGGACATGAGCACATTCTTTGTTTGCAGTTCTGATTTCTCAGACATGAAAATGATCTTTAACCACCTCTATGGAACATTAATGTGATCCAGCTGTGATAAAGTGCTCTCTACAACATATTGTTGAGTCCTGAGTACAGGTGTGTCGATTTGTGGTTTTAGACTACTTCAGCTCTCAGAAAAATCCACCAAGCAGCATGGGGAATGCAGATCTGTATACCTCTAGTCCTGAGTAAACACACAGAGAATCCTGATTAGCAGTAGTTCCTTGGAATGTGTTGTTCACTGCATTTTTAGGAATAAACATTTGTTATGTGAGCTTTGGGTTTACTGTACAGATGGCAGACATAACTTCAGTTTTATTCTGCGCCTGGCCAATCTGTTCTTTCAGTGGTTCCGAGTGAACACTGCAAACATCTCACATCAGTTGTGTGGGGAGGGAAGAATAAGGACAAGGATGGACGTATCAACTTCATTGTAGTTTCAGTTTGTGGCAGAACATAAATTTGGTGCTGCAGAGGTGACTGGCTTTTTTCATGAATACACTGTGTCACCCAGGCCCCCTGAGACCTTTCTCTATTACTTTAAGGTTTCGTGACTTCACAGCCGTCCCTGTCCGACCTGACCAATGAGAGTGGGAGAAACAGATTCCGAACCCAAATTGTAAAGCCGGGGGATTCCGTGGCTGTAGAACTGCTCTCCTCACTAACACTGGACAGTTATGAAGAGGCAGGTGTGTTCAGGTAACCCCTGTTTCTTCTCCTGTTCCAGTGGTGTTTCAAGGGTCACTGCATCTGGAAGACTTCAGAACAACCTTACAGCCAGGATGGCAGCTGGAGTTCCTGGTCCAAATTTGGTTCCTGCTCCAGGACTTGTGGGGGTGGGGTGCGCTCCCGCAGCAGGAACTGCAACAACCCACCGTAAGTTTGGCCTTCTGTGAACGCAGGGTGTTGTTCAGCAAACTGTCCAGTGAGACAGAAGGCACCCCTTTCTTTCTCTAGTGTATAGTCAGTAAGGAAGGGTGTGTTGCCAATTCTTAGGCTAAGGAAAATGAGAACAATACATAAATGACAGAATATTGTAGGGAAAGAAGCGGTGTGGTTCTTATACACAATTCAAGGACAAGGAGGGACGGGGTGATACCTCTATTAGAACACAAACATCACAAACAGATGCTAGCTTTACCCCACTACAGGACCACTCTTTTCTCTTCACCTTTATTATCCTGGGTTGTAGTTGTGTGCAATTCAATGTCCTGGCTTAAAAGCAGGACTCTTTATATGTGCTGGGAATACTTCTGGGCACGCACACACACTATAACTAAGACATACTGCAGACACTTGACCACTGCTCAAAAGGGAGTGGCTAATTAGTTTAAACCAACCTTATTGATGGAGTAGAGCCTTTCTTTAAAGCAGCTCCTACATAGTGGTCTCTTCCTACCATGACCTTCACATACATCACACCCTCCAGAAACCCTTTCTTAGAATTTGGAAATAGCAGGTTGCAGGCAATGTAGCTATTTTGGAAGATTACCTGAGCTAGGTGGAAAACAAAGGTATAACACAGTAATAGTTCAGAAGTTGCACAGTTAGTTTATGTTA